TAGGAGACCCAAACCAAACCAAACAACAACACTCACGTTTTGTCACCTTGGGCTCTGTCAAAAAATAAATTGTTTTTCCAAAAAAAAAAAAAAAAATCAATTCGCGTCTGTCCTCCCAACCAATAAGATAAATAATTAGTGTGTACGTACACATCGATCAAATAACAAACTTCTTTATTAAAAAAAAAATGTCATTTAATGTGAAGAAAAATAAAAGAAGCAAAAAAAATAATAAAGCTGATATCGCTGGGTAAGTGTTTTTAAGGATGGTGGTGGGTTATTGCCCACTGCTCATCATTACTCTAGTTATTATTAAAAGAATGGTGGTGGTTATTATCATTTGCAACTTGTCATTTCTATTATTTTTTTTTTTTAAAAAAAATGTCAACTAAAAACAAAAGAAAAAGAAAAGCAGAAACACAAAACAAAGAATCATATATGCAAGCACTGTTGGAGGGTAGTTTTTTTTTTTTTTTTACAAGCTATTCTAGTTACATATTTTAGAAAGAATTATAATGGCAATTATTGATCTGAACATCATTCTAGTTTATAATTAATCTGCACTTATTTTCAAATCAGTTGACAAAAGTTCAAACGACAATAACAATGAAAACCTCAATACATTACTTGATAGGAACAATTGGAAGAGATTACTAAAAGAAGTGGCAAATCTCAACAGACACAAAATGAGGTAATCGAATCAATTCACAAAATGCTTTTTATACTGTGAAATCGTAAAAATTAGTGAGGGTAAATCAAACATCTGAACAAATACTTAAGAAATCACAACATGCCTCTTTTAATATTATACAATACATTAGATTGGAATGTTGAGGCATAATAAGATGTGGGTTGAACATTTCCAGACCAAAGTGGTGTACAAAAACTGATTACAATGAAATACAACAAATCTGTAAGAGAAGGATTCCATATAAGTCTCCAGGAATATTAAAGGATCTTGTCAAGCTGGTATTACTTTGAGAATTTCGTTTTTTTTGCTGTTGTTGGAATTGAGACATTCCTAAATATGATTATTTTTGTTCACAGAATAATATGAATGAATTGGAAAATAAATTGAAAAGTATTGATCAGAGACTTGAAGACCCAATTACAACCTTTTTGATAGAAATTTTAAAATACTTGTAAGTAGAAAACTTACTTGAACTACTATTTTTGCTGTAACTAATTCTCAATTTTTTAACCATCCATAGATTTGAATTTGTCTACCCCAAAAGCACATATAGATTGTATGTAATAGATATGTGTTTAAGGGTAGGGGAATCACATGTTAATTTAATAGTAAATCCGGGGCTCAATTTTTCCAAAAATTTGAGTTTTCCCAAATTAGTAATTGTCTTAAAAGTAAAACTACAGCAAGATGCATTGAAACAACTTCAAAATTATTTATATCTAATTTTGGTGTTTCTTAACTATTTGAAAGTACTTCAGGTAAAACTTCTTAATAAAAATTAGTAAATTTCTTCAAAAAACTTAATGCGTTTCAAAATAAACATAACTTCTTCCATAGTAAACACCTGCTCATTTCTTAGTAAGCACCTGCTCATTTCCTAGTAAAAGTTACACATTCCATAATATAAAATACTTATTTGGCAAAAAATTCTCATAAAATAATAAAGTTCAATAAATATTTGATAAATTGTTATCTACTAGTAATTATTTCTACATGAAGGCTTCTTATTTTATTTTATTTTTACAATTCAAAAATGGTCAGTTGGTATAAGTCATTGACAAATTCCAAAATTATAGATATTGCTGAGGGTGCTGAAGAAATGATATATTCTCATTCTTGGGATTATTATTTATAAATAAATAAATATATATATATATATATAATTTTTTTTTTTAATTTTTTATTATAGGAAATTTTAATGTATATTAATAATATTTCATAAAAATATTGATCAACATTGTACCCGGCAGGCAAAAAAAATTGAGCCATGATTTACTATTAAATTAACATGTGATTCCCCCTACCCTTAATGAAACTTCTATCTGGACTACAAGCTGATTTGATATACAAACCATAAGTGTTATTTTTAGACATTATCTTAATTAATAGTACTAACCTTTCTTTTTATATAAGGGGAGAAATAGCTTTATCATCAATCAAATCATATCGTAGAAGGAAAAAAGAAAGTTATTACAAACAAGAATCAGATGGTGTTTTCTTATTGTGCCTAAAAAATCATTATATTGAAATTGGTCATGTTGAAATAAGTGGCAGTTATGGTTGTATAGATAAACCACAATCCACCTGGGATCATCTTAAAGGTGTGGTTGGAAATTTTTATATGTTGGGAGACATATCATATTGTTACAAAAAGGCTTCCCACAAAACTTTTTCAAAAATCCAAATGTCTTTTTTACATGGATTTGGTAATTATCTTTCAATTAAATACTTTAGTGTCATTTCTTGATATTTAATTATTTCTACAATCTATAGACGATTGGATTTTCTGGTTGGTCTAGAAGAAGATAGTAAATTGAAATTCTTAAAATATGATGCATTCAGAAAGTTATGACATCAATTGACACCAGAGATTCAAATTATGAGTCCAAGGACTGATTTGTGTGATACTTGTCAACATTTTAGAGATGGTTTACAT